GTAAAACCCAGCTGCAGGAGCATTTTATCTCTTCTAATTACGCTAATTACAGTGATAAATTATTTATATTCATGTTGAAGGTGTTTTTTTTTTTTTCTTGGACATCCCTTTTAATCAAATGGAGGTAATCTTTGCCCCTTATGGGACCCAAAGAGATAATGATGAGTTTACATTTCTTCTTCTGCCACTAAGTGAAGGAACATAGGAAAGGCAATAAATAGTCTTCACCAGAACCATTAAAATTGAAAAGCTGGGATTTCTCTCGGTCTTGACTCGAAGCTGTTTGTTTATCAGCTGGCGCCTAGTCTGGAGCTGAGAGCTTGAGATTTCTATCTGTTTCAGAACTTTGGAGAATTTCGCAAGGCACTTTCATTTTAACTTTAAGGTAACTTGAGTTTATAGCTTTGGCTTTAAAGATTACTAATGATTTACTCATTTCCTTGCCATTTAACCGAAGTGGACTTTTTTCCCAGGAAGGGATCTGTGTTTATTTAGGGCTTTTGTCTGCGGAGGGATTAAAAGGCGGCCCACCTACATCGTGAACTTGATGGCAATAAAAACTCACCAAAACACACCATAAAAACATTCTTACCATGGCATTAATTATACACAGTTGAACTGCTAAGAAGCATGTTTCATTCATACACTAAGCATTGTAGATGACATTTTCTCTTACTTGTCATTTTTGATGGAAAGCTAGTAAATGTGTGGCATTCTACTTACTTGTTTGTCTTATGTGTACTTGCTTGACTTATGGCCTCTAATGCCTACTGCACTCCTTTAGTGGAATGTTGAGGAAGAATTTGTATTCGTATCAAGGACCTTGAATTATGACTGTGTGCAGCCTAAGTATTGTGGTTACAGTGCTTCACTAAAACAGGGTAATGTCTGTAGGGATTTGGTACTGCATGACTTTGGTGTGGTTTTGTTAGCAATTCAGTGGTTGTTGGCTTAAGACAAGGTTAGCAAGCAGCCAAAGAGGGGTTAGTGTTAGGGCTTAGTTTAGGTGGTAAACTTACTGTAGGGGTTAGATAAAGGGTTAGTCAATGGTAATGATGAGCCTGGGCTTGGTGCAAACCCAGTTCGCCCGAGTGAACCCAAAAACACTCAAAACTGTGACTGCCACTTCCTCCTACTAACCTAATCGGTTGCAGAGAACACAATTACCCACCCTGCAGCTATGCGTCACAAAAGGGCAGGGAATGCCCTTGCTGCAACTGCTGCTATTGATTGGGCCAGGAGGGGAGATTGCCGTTCAACGTTTTGAGCGGCCTTGGGTGAACTCAGGCGAACTGGGTCCACACCAGGCCCATATTCATCTCTACTTGATGGGAGTAGGTGTTAAAGACTCACTGTAGGATTTAGGTGCCTGAAGGGGGTCTAAAGAGCTTTAAGTAAGCTTCTAAACCTTCCCCACTCTATCTATAAAATTTAAAATAGCATTTGAGCTAGACATACATTTTATATGTTAAGCCCAACTCCAGCCAAAAATGTTTTAGGGTCAATTCACAGTTAAGCTTTCTCTTTTGGTACATCAGTGCAAAATAAGTTAATGCGTTGTGTTTACGCAGTCCATAAATTTTGAATGAGCTGCCAATGCACCACAACAGATGAAAAAAATGTACAAGACCAATTACAATTACTAATTTTTTTATTTTCTGCTGCCAGACTCACCCTCCTTACCAACCAATCAGTGTCCCCCACCCCCCTCTGCCAATCGCTCCACTGGTTCCCAATGTCACCAACGTATAAAATTCAAAATACTAATAACAACCTACAAAGCCATCTACAACTCCGCCCAACCTTCATCACCCATCTCATGTGAAAATATCACCCAAACCACCCCCTTCGCTCTTCCCAAGACCTCCTGCTCTCATCACCTCCTCACATGCTCACCTCCAGGATTTTCCCAGAGTGTCTCCCATCCCCTGGAACTCCCTGCCTCAATCAGTTCACTTATCTCCTACTCTGTCCACCTTTTGGCGATCCTTGAAAAGTCATCTCTTCAGGGAGGCCTATTCCACCTCGATATAACCGTACAGTTATTACCTTTTGTATCACTTGCCCCTCCTGCTAGATTGAAAGCTCTTATGAGCAGGGCCCTCCTACCTCCTGTACTGAAATTGTTAATTGCATTGTCTCCCTCAGTTTTGTAAAGCGCTGCACAAACTGTTGGCGCTATATAAATCCTGTATATTAATAAATAAATAAAAATTTTGTGCAACCCGCAGATGCAGCAGTGCCGTCCGTCCGTTTTTCTACTACGGGCGGACGGCAAGAGGTTAACATGCTCTGTATTCCATAGATGTTTGTTTAATTAAGATGTCTAATATTCTGCTTAAACTGGTCTCTATAAAGCACCTATCCAGAATGAAGTATCCTCAACAATATCTTTGGAGGCCGTATCTGGAGCCAAGATTGTAGTGTTTTCTTGACCTTCGTGTACTGTTAGCTACAGAATGCTTTCTAGGTCTAGAGCTTTTGCACAGTCCCTGGACTCTAAAGACTCATTCCACGAATATCCTCATGGGAAGGGGGCGAAGACAGCCTGAAATGTGACATTAAGGTACTACGCTCTGCATTGTAGCACTTTACAGACCCATGTGTTCACTGTCATTTAGCCGCAGAACAGTATCTAGTTTCAGAGCAGTGGCACAACCTCTGCTGTAACCCAGTCTCTGATGACTCCCTTTGTGAAAACACCTCTGGTAGTAGCGAAGATAACCTGGTAGTTCACCTTCAGACACTCGGCCCTGCATTGTAGAACTTTCAAGACCGTGTGTACTATCAATTAGCTGCAGAGCACTTTTCAGGTCCAGAGCACTGGCACAGCTTCGGTTATGACTAGTCAGTGCAGTCTTATTCTCAGAGTTAATCTTGGATTCTAGTTAACATATCCTGATACGTGACCTTTAGGTAATTAACTTTACTCTATAGTACTTCTTAGCCCTTCATGTACTGTATTAGTAATCCACAGAGTGTTTTCTAGTTCTAGAGCTGCTGCATATTCTTTTGGCATAACCCAGTCTCTAACAACTCTTAATGAGTTTGACTAGTTGGGCCACAGTAATGGTAACTACCTCAGTCTGGACCTTCAGGCACCATTTTAAGTTTATCACCTTTTTTTTGCCAAGGTAACAGTGATGCTTGAGGGTATTCAGCACTGGCATCATCCACTAGGAGTGTTGCGCACACACTCTTTTCCCACCTTTTGGCTGAATAGGTCTACCGGCTGCCCATTTACAGTGCATTACCACCCTCATCGGTACCAACTTATGTCTTCCTATGTTGACTGGAGACCATCTTGTGGTATTCTACCTCCTTTTTAACAATGAAGTCTATTAACATTAGGATCACTGCATTTGTTGTGGTCCTTAACTTTTCTAAGACTGGTCTCTTTCAAGAGGGGCTTATTAACCTACAAGGTTGACAAACATCATGATTTCTGCTGTTGGTCCCTGAATATGGAACTGGTTATATGGTGCTTCTGGCAGATTTCAGGTACAGCAATGTCTAGTGCATCAACACTATTGCTCATTGTCTTACTAGCTTGCCCGTTTTCCTACTTTTGGGTCTGGTTCTATGGGACAGACGGCTTCCCAAGCTGTAGGGGAATCTGAATGAGAGTCCGTTATTTTATCTGCACTAGTCCATGTGGCTATCAGAAGTTCTCTTGATACATTTTGAAATAATGTTTCTGTTATTTAGTAGACAGTTTACTAAGATTTATGTTTTACTTCAGTCTACTGCATGTGCTTGTCTGCAGATCAGCTGGCTGTGTATTGTCACTTGTTTTTACAATGGACCTCTTTTCCTGACAAAGTATATTACAGTTTGATTACATACACTGATTCACACTCTGAGTGTTGTGTAATGATCAGAATCATAACATCCAAAGAAGGAAGCATCCATCCATCACCCTCCGTCAATCCCTACAAATGCATAACAAACTGATGTCTGCAGAGTTGGTTTCAAAGTAATCCTGTCATAGGAAAAATACAGGGGGGCTGTCAGTACAAACCTACTTCTGAAAATGCTAGATGCTTGGCTGCTAAACTGACCAAGAACAAGTGTGCAGATCAGGAAAATCAAAAGGTCTGATCTGTACTTCCTATATTCCCAGCGACCCAAAATATAGAACCCAGATTTCCAGTATTAAAGAATCTGCATTTTCAGATGGAGAGGTCAGAAAATAACAGCCTTCGTGGAGTTTTACTGAGATGCTAAATGGCATCTGTGGAGTCACTTACAATACAAAGCAGCTAACTTCAGGGTCAAAGGTGGCTCAATGTTGTATTGAGCAGAATGTGTGTGTGTGTGTGTGTGTATTAGATAAAGACAACAGGTCACCAGCACTCAGATAATTTAAATAGATGTGTCCTTTTTATTGGACAATCGTGTCACGACAATCAACAAAGTCGATGTTTCGGGACCGCGCAGGGTCCCTTCTTCAAGGCAGAAAGATGTGACCGGTGTGCGGAGAGCACCCCACCAACTGAAAACTGTTCTGTGTGTGTATTGTTTTCATCAATATGCAATATATAAATAACACAAATATAAAATTTGAATTCAAGTCAATATCGTTTTCATGCAATTGGTGGAAGCCTCCAGAGACAGGCAACCAAAATGGTGAACAGTCTGAGAAGAGACTGCAGGAACTTAGACTGTACAGACTTGAGGAAAGAAGGGAAAGAGGGGACATGACTGAAATCTTTAAATACATTAAAGATGTGAATAAGGTTCAGGAGGGCAGTATTTTCCATATGAAACCAAGATAACGGTAACATGGCCTCAGAAAGTATTCATTTACCGAAGTAGTAGTTAATGATTGGAAGGGACTTCCGGCAGAGGTAGTGAGTCAGTAAGTGGATTTACATATGCTTGGTACAAACATAGATCTACACACAAAAAAAATGACAGCCTTGATGGACCACTTGGTCTTTTCTGCCATTGCTCTTCTATGCGGGTATATCATATTATACATAAGGGTGTGGACTCACCTCCAGAGACAGGTGCATCCATGAAAACAGCTCCCATTTTTTCCACTGCTTTTGCCAGTTCTTTAGACACTGCTGGATCAATGGTGCTGGAGTCAATCAACAAAGAACCTTTCTTCACTTTTCTGTACAAAAAAACATGTAATTGAACAGATGTAGCAAAACGCTTTTTTTTTGTATATTTAAAGCTTAGCAAAGTTTAGCTTGAGCAAAGAATAAGAAAATCACATGGGCCAGCAGTAGTTAAAAAAAAAGTAGGTCTAAAAAAAAGTAGATCTACCCATGCTAGTCACCTTATCTCCAGGATTGTCCTCTACAAGACTCACCCATTCACCGATCCTCTTCTCACTTCAAAGACACTTAGCATCACTCAACCCACTCCTTGTGAGTCCAGGGCATTAAGGTCTTGAAGACTCAAAGAAGAATGCTGCAGAAAGCCGTGGAGCATCATTACCAGAGAAAGCTGAGTGAAGAGGACCTCTGGCATGACCCAACCAGACCGAATGCACCAGGAAAAAAAAAAGGTGACTGCTCTGAAGGGGGACACAAGCCATGCAGAGGTAAGCCTGGGGTTGGGGTTTAACGGACCAAAAGTGTATTTTTTTGGTTTACAATACTGTAATTTACTAACATTTCAGAACCCCAAAGTGTATGATTCTTGTTTAAACCTTACAGAATGAAAGACACTTCAGAAAATCTGTGGACACCAAAAATGAATTCTGGTTCCCCATTTCCAGTCCTAACCCAATAGTTCCTATGACGTCTAGTATAAAACAAAGCACTAATCTAAGAGCAAGCAGCTGACATTTGCATCGTTAATCAGACTTATTTGAATGTCTCAGCCAACATTGCAGAAGTCAACATTTTGCACATACAAATGTTAGTCAAATCAACCACATAAGCACATACTTCAAAATTCCATTTGGTCCTGTGTAGACATCGATCGCATTCAAACTTGATGGCAACATGGATATAATTCTGTCAGCCTTCTCTGCAACATCAGATGGCGAGTCAGCAATCTAGGGGAAAAAAACATCCTTACATTTCTTTCTTACCAATTTGACAATTATATATTAGATACAATGTCTGGCATAAGAAAAAGATGCACACAGTAAAAATACATATATAAAAGTTGTGTTATCTGATAAAGAATTTGTCTATCTGTTCGGCCAGTCCTGAGATCTACACAGCCGTACCATAGCTAGGCTGGTGACCTCACCTTTCTCTGCTGCAGTTATTCACTACAACTAGGTCACTATCCCAAGCCTGCAATTGGACATTGAAGAAGAAACAGCAGACTGATGAGCTAATCCCTCTGTTTACTATGCTACAGGTCCCAATCCCCTTTGTTGTTCTGGGGTGCACCTTGCTCTTCTGCAAATCCTGGGACTGCTACCGAGGGAATTCTGGGTGGAGAGCAGGAGATTGGTTAACTCCAACTAACTAATCTGCTCTAAGCTGAATGAACCTGGAATCACTTAGCCTTCAGCACTTCCAAATCTTTGCCTGCAGCAGCTAGGTAAACAACAGAATGGGAACTCTAAGGCCTTGTACACACCAAATGCAGAGCAGATCTGGTGTGAACAAGGCCTAAAGTGCTCTAACTGGAGGGAAATCAAGGGTCTAATAGAGTACAGGAGTACCTGTCACTTCCCATGTACTAACACCAAAGATTTCCAAGCAGCTTGTGGTAGTAAAATCGATACCAAAGAAAAACATTTTTTTTATATATAAACATACATACATTTTTTTTTTTTTATAGGATGCACATCCATACATATATTGGGTATCCTAATGCACACTAGAAGAATAATTCTAGGGCCATCATTCCAGTATAACTCTAAAGTGATGAGCTGTAAAGCAATTTATCATAGTTTTTGCTGTGCACACAATTTTTGGTAGTCATTAACACTACACAAGCTCACCTTTACCATTCAAAGAAAAAGGTTTTACAGAACATGTTATGGTTTTTGTGCAATAAAAAAAAGTGTGTTTCTTTACTAAAAATATTAGATCATCTAAATATCTGTACAAGGTTTCCAGTTTTTGATTTTACACTGCTTTTCTTTCCCACCTGGATACTTTATTTTTTTATTTGTATTTCATCCAGCAGAAAACTTTCTAGGCAGAACACTGCTGTATGCAGTTCTTTTTTCCATAAACGAGATAAGACATCGATCTGACTTTAGTACCTACACTATAGCCAGACCCAAACACCACAAAAACTGTATTCACAATCCTTCTGAATGTGGGACATTACACTGTGAAATTATCATTCTTTTGTTAACAGATCACTAAGCTGAGATCCGCTGAACCTCCAGCAAACCCAACACAGCAACACATCACAAGCAGATGTAAGGAGCAGCATGAGCCCTGCGGCTAACTCTAGTCACAGCAAGAGAGCTATGGGAAGCTGATACTTAGTAGTAGTAGTAAAAGAAAACATGCATGTACTATGTTATTTTACAAGGCTGCCAGAAAATCAAATAGTTCACATTCTTGTGATTTGTACAACATGTACACATTTAAGTTAGTGAAACAAAATACACCATTTTGTAATGATTATTGTATTTCCCTACAAGAGACAGAACAACATTATTGTTATATATTTCCCACAATATCTATAAATATTACAGTTCAAAAAAAAAAGCTCACAGTAGAGGAAACTAATATATGTATATATGTTAAAATGTACCTCATCAGTTCACTCTGAGCTACCAGATTCCCTTGCTGACACTAAACAGGGCAGATGTAGAAGGGTCCATGCACTACAGCAGCGTGCACTACCGCACGGGTGTGTATTGTTAATGGCCTGCTTACCCCTCCCCCCCACAAATGTCTTTTATTGACCCATATTGTCACAAGAATGGCAAACAAATATTATTAAAAGTGGCACATGCCAATTTATTCAGTTTATTGCATGGTGGTTGAGTGTGCTTAATCTGACATGCACCAAAAGATTGGCACAAATCAGAGGTAATCTTCTGCTAGGATCATCCTTAATTTCCTCCTTCTTTGCTCCTTCCTGCACCTCGTTGGCTGTCCATACACATCCCTTTCTCTTCTTCACTACTGATCGTCACTGTCGCCCCTCCACACTGGTAATGGAGTATATTTTAGAGGTGTTTAAAACATTCTGCAAAAGAAGACTCTTAGCACTTACCTCTCCTGTGGGTAGGGAGTACCCACTTTGCTCTTTTCTTGGCCCCTACCTCACTACTGTATCCGGTAATTATATAGGGGTGGACAGGTAAAGCCACAGTGCGAGGTGGGTGATGAAGACATCTAAAACACCCAGAATTTTGGATGCTGAAAATTTTGTCGGATGCTCTTTTTTTTCCAAGTGTCAGTCGCTTTAATTAACACAACACTTATGACTGGACATGAGTTGGATGAACAGCACGCCGTTTCCTCATATCTTCTTATATAGCCGTCCCTTAAATAAACTGTACCTGTTACAATTAAAAAGTAACTCCAGTCAGCTTTGCCTTGAGGAAAGGCATTTTGGAAAAACCTGGTCATCTTTCTGCTGCAGGCAAAAAAGAATGCATTTACTCAGTCTCACCTCCCCAATGATTGCTTACAGGGACTGTGGGACCGATTTAGAAGTGTAACTTTCTGACTATTCACAGGTTGAGAGACAGTTAACAAGGGACTGGTCCATTTAAAGTCTAAGTTTACCTTTCTGACCATGTTTCCTGTTACACCCATATTTAGGGAGTAGAGTCTACAGGAGCCTGAGCATTGCACCAGCAATCCACTGCCTCCTATGCAAAAAACAATAAATGCACTTTTTTTATTTTATGAAGTGGTGCACTTTTATTTTTAAGGTGAACTTTACCTTTTAGATGGATGCAAAAAGTAAAACAGAAGGTTAGCTCCTTTGTCAAGTTTTTATTACGGTCTCTGTCCACACTGTGGAGATTCACTCCTATATATGCTGGTCACCACTGTCACTTAGATTTTAAGAAAATAGTTAGTGGAAAACCAAAATTGTCACCAAAAGTAGGGGAAAAATATGAAAACAAACTTTTTTATTTTTTTAAAAATGGATTTACATTCACGTTAACTTTCTAGAATATGACTTCTAAACACATGACAAGGCAGCAAAAAACATGAGCTGCTTAAAGAAGAACTCTGTGTACATTTTTTTAATTATCCCTTGCAGTGGGTCTACCCCCGCACTGCAAGGGTTAACTGTTAATTTTGGTCTAGGGAAGAAAATAAAGTTATACTCACCAAATCCTCAGAGCCAGCTGACTGTGACAGTGCTCCCTTTAGCCTGTCTCCTCCTCCTCTGCAGCCCTCTGTGCCCCTACATCCTATACACCGTGTAAAGAACGTGATGACTCATGGACCTTAGACCTCTGCAGCGTGGGGCTGGAAGGCACCATCTAAGAGCAAGCTGGCTTGGAGGACTGGGGGAGTATAACCTTTTTTTCTCCCTAGACCAAAGCGAGCAATTAACCCTTGCTATGGCAAACAAATATTATTAAAAGTGGCACATGCCAATTTATTCAGTTTATTGCATGGTGGTTGAGTGTGCTTAATCTGACATGCACCAAAAGATTGGCACAAATCAGAGGTAATCTTCTGCTAGGATCATCCTTAATTTCCTCCTTCTTTGCTCCTTCCTGCACCTCGTTGGCTGTCCATACACATCCCTTTCTCTTCTTCACTACTGATCGTCACTGTCGCCCCTCCACACTGGTAATGGAGTATATTTTAGAGGTGTTTAAAACATTCTGCAAAAGAAGACTCTTAGCACTTACCTCTCCTGTGGGTAGGGAGTACCCACTTTGCTCTTTTCTTGGCCCCTACCTCACTACTGTATCCGGTAATTATATAGGGGTGGACAGGTAAAGCCACAGTGCGAGGTGGGTGATGAAGACATCTAAAACACCCAGAATTTTGGATGCTGAAAATTTTGTCGGATGCTCTTTTTTTTCCAAGTGTCAGTCGCTTTAATTAACACAACACTTATGACTGGACATGAGTTGGATGAACAGCACGCCGTTTCCTCATATCTTCTTATATAGCCGTCCCTTAAATAAACTGTACCTGTTACAATTAAAAAGTAACTCCAGTCAGCTTTGCCTTGAGGAAAGGCATTTTGGAAAAACCTGGTCATCTTTCTGCTGCAGGCAAAAAAGAATGCATTTACTCAGTCTCACCTCCCCAATGATTGCTTACAGGGACTGTGGGACCGATTTAGAAGTGTAACTTTCTGTCTATTCACAGGTTGAGAGACAGTTAACAAGGGACTGGTCCATTTAAAGTCTAAGTTTACCTTTCTGACCATGTTTCCTGTTACACCCATATTTAGGGAGTAGAGTCTACAGGAGCCTGAGCATTGCACCAGCAATCCACTGCCTCCTATGCAAAAAACAATAAATGCACTTTTTTTATTTTATGAAGTGGTGCACTTTTATTTTTAAGGTGAACTTTACCTTTTAGATGGATGCAAAAAGTAAAACAGAAGGTTAGCTCCTTTGTCAAGTTTTTATTACGGTCTCTGTCCACACTGTGGAGATTCACTCCTATATATGCTGGTCACCACTGTCACTTAGATTTTAAGAAAATAGTTAGTGGAAAACCAAAATTGTCACCAAAAGTAGGGGAAAAATATGAAAACAAACTTTTTTATTTTTTTAAAAATGGATTTACATTCACGTTAACTTTCTAGAATATGACTTCTAAACACATGACAAGGCAGCAAAAAACATGAGCTGCTTAAAGAAGAACTCTGTGTACATTTTTTTAATTATCCCTTGCAGTGGGTCTACCCCCGCACTGCAAGGGTTAACTGTTAATTTTGGTCTAGGGAAGAAAATAAAGTTATACTCACCAAATCCTCAGAGCCAGCTGACTGTGACAGTGCTCCCTTTAGCCTGTCTCCTCCTCCTCTGCAGCCCTCTGTGCCCCTACATCCTATACACCGTGTAAAGAACGTGATGACTCATGGACCTTAGACCTCTGCAGCGTGGGGCTGGAAGGCACCATCTAAGAGCAAGCTGGC